GAACGGTCTAGATTCACTCCCTATTTAATCGCGATCGGACAGTCGAGATCAAACAAGATAGACGGTCCAGATCGAAAGCAGATGGATATAAATAACCCCAATCTGCACTAAACCCTAACCCTAACGGTCAAAACCATTCACCGAAGAAGACGACCCAGCCGCTGGAGAGCTGACCACCGCCACCCGCCGCCACACCGGAACCTTTTTCGACAATCAAAAAAGGTAAAAACTTTCTCTTTTGCACGAAATTCAATTTTAAGCTCACCCATAGCTAAATCGGAGTGAAAAGACCGGCTAGTTGGCTGAAAAATACCAGCAAAGTCCGGTGGCGCCACCATGGAGAATTTCACAAAATGACTCTAATGAGGCCCTTTTCGATTCCCGTTTCGTGTGATTTTTTTACTGTTGTGATCACTGTTTTCTTCTCTACAGGTTGACTGAAGCAAAACAGTCAACCGTAATGTGAGTCGGAGGAGCTGCCGTACCTGAAAGCCCCTCCGCCGGTGAACAGTTTTTAGTATTTTTTGACCAATCGAGATTCTTTAACGTAGGTTCTCGCATGAATCGATGTAAAATCGGTCGAATTTGGCCGAAAATGGCTGACCCGAGGCGGACCACAGCCACAGGCGGTGGTGCCGTCACCGGAGCACGGCGGAGCCGCCATGCCAAATTTTTGAAATTGGCCGAGTTGGCCCTGGGACTTATTTTGGGTTTATTTGGAACATTTGTATGTACTATAAGCACATTTCAGTTCCCGGAGAAAAAATTCAGGGAACCCAGGGACCGCTTGTAGGCATAGTAAACTGTTTAGCTCTTCGGCGTTAAATCGAGTAAAGATCTCTCATCATATTCTCTATCATAGAATTGAAGTTTAAATAAATAATAATATGGTATTTTGTGCGATTTTAGTAAACATGCATAATTAATTATTGATTGCTAATGGAGCTCGAACTGAAAATTGTTCTCTATTAATATCTGTTGATGTATTTTACAGTCTAAAAGTAAAACAGTGTCTTATCGATTTATTTTATAATTTGTATGCATGAATTACTGCCTTACGTAACTATTGTTTGATTTGGGATTTGAGACATGATTGCATTACTTTATGTATATTTATTTGCTTATGTGATTATGTTTGATTTGGAAATGGAGACTAAAGAAAAATAGGAAAGTGGTGTGATTAAATAAGCAGATCAAACGGCAGTCTTAATAGATATCTTGGGAGATGGTGGACAAATCGGGTACATAGAGAACCCTACCGTGAATGTTGTCTCATACCGGACAGGGTATGGACCGGACGGGATATGGGGACGTCCCACTTCACCCTCATACCGGATGGGGTACTGAGGTTTAATGATTTGGTGCTCATATCGGACGGGGTATGGGGACGGCCCTGTAATTAAGATTGTTAAAGAAAATGGTTCACGTGTAGCGGAAATATCCCTATAAACCTCCATAGATACTAGTAGGCTGGTGAAAAGAGAAACAGTTATGGTTTAATTTATTGTTAACGGATATGGATTTATAATATGTTTTATGTTACTGATTGTTCATGAAATTATGATTTGTATGATATTATTGTTTTTATAGATTGTTTTTATAAATTCTACTATGGTAAGTGAACGAGAAATGATTTTATGATTGATAAATGAATTAATTAAATTTAATACTCCATTAGTGATTTTCGATTTTATACCAACTTTTATTTCTGTGCCGGTGATATAATGTGATATCCTTATTGGGTTAGTGTAACTCATCCTTTATTTAACCATTTCAGATCAAGAAAACCAGGTTTCAGAGCCCGATCCGTAAGAAGATTACGAGTAGATGCTAGATATTTTCTATTTTTCATTTGTTTCCTTATTTCTCGTGTTTCTTTCAAAGAATTAATTCCGCAATATTATTCAGTACTTTTAAATTATTATGTAAAGAATGTAAATTTTAAATTTTTATTTCATTTCCGCACTTAAGTTATTATATATTTTCTTTTAGATTTCCGAAGTCGTTACAGTGTCGGCTTGGCCTTTCATAAGTGGAAACATAATAAAACTTCCATGGTAGTATCCGAGTAAATACTTTTAATTTCTCTCAAATCATAATAATATTATTTTATCAGATCACTGAATCATTTATTTCTCTTGAAATCTTTTCAATAATACATGTAATATAATATAATTTTAAATTTAATTAAAAAAAATTTATCAATTTTTTATTTAATAATACATGTACTAAAATATTTCATTTCATTTATTTATTTTTTAAAAATATATTTAAAAGATGCTTCTATATTTTAAAAATATCTCTTATAATTTAAATTTTAAATTAATTTAATTTATATATTTCAATATTAAATAAATCTTGACGATGAATAATCTCATATGAAATTATGAAGATAAATTGTTTGCAAAAATACATTCTTCAATTTTACATTTACATGAAATAAATCTCGACGATCAATAATCTCATATGATCATGGTATTGTGTGTGTGTATATGTTTAACAAAATCTGCATCCTAACTAATGGATTCCATCGCCCAGACATTGTACTCTGTCGATGGTAATTCAGTTTCGGACTTCTCTCCTTTTCGCCATCCGGAAAGAACATATAATGAGCATATACAGGTCCACTAAAATAAATTTCAAACAAAAAATACACGGCGTTGCAATTTGTTAAGTCTCTAGCTCAATTCATCTTTGTGTTACCCTTCCCCTAACCTTACTACTACTCCAAAGCTGTATAACCCCACTACTACATACGCTTTTCACACCCAAAAACCACACAAGAGGCCACCTTCACCATCACAACACTTATTCGGCCTTTTCAAGTACCACAGCCCACCAGGGCCATCACCCACTCAGTAATACATAATGCCTAGAAACAGAAAAGAAAAATCAGTAGTCTACACACTCATACAGTCGCCTGGACTAACGTTTCGGACCCCAAACAGCAACCTTATGTACCGCCGGCCACCCGTTGGCCACGCACCCACACATAAACGCCTACTTTGGCTGACTGGAATATCAACAGCAGGTTTAGGCAACACCGGCCATCTGTTGGCCACACACAACACACACACAAAGCCGCATATCTTGGCTTTCCGAAATACAAACAGTAAGCTCATGCAACACCGACGATCTCGTGGCCACACACCCACACAGAAACGCTTAGTTTGGTTTTTCGGAATAAGCAACAACCACAGCATATAGCACCGGCCATCCACCGGCCACACACATGCTTCAATCGCCCATCCTGGCTTTGCGGCCTATTGCGCCACTGTCCCATACTGCCTCGGTCAATCCATTGGCCACACACACCAACAGCGTTCTGTTCCGGCTTTCCAATTTTATGGAATACCGCCTCTACACACCATTACCGGCCATCAAGTGGCCACACACACACACACACACACACAAAAACTCGCCTAATTCGGCTTCCTAAAATGACAGAACGGCACATGCTCCCCGACGATTTTCCTTTCCACTCACACTCCTCACTCTAGCTTTTTAAATTGCACCTCTTATCACTAAACTCTCCTTCACTCTTCTCCTGTTATTTCCTCACTGCTCTCTCTCTATTCTTTTACTCAACACACCACAATCAAGCTCGACCTGAACCCTAGCGAATATACATACATTGCCAACACAGAATTTTAAAAATTTACCTACCTCCGGTTTCCATCTCCCTCTGATTCAGCAGAATTTCTCTTCAATCTCGCTTTTCCTAGCCAATTTCAGTCGCCACGTCCCTCACTCTTCTCGGTCTTTCTCCCTTTCTTCCCTCTCTTTTCCCCTCTTCCTTTCTCCTTTTTTTTTTCTTCAGCCCACCACTCCCTTTTATACTCGACCCGGTTCAATCCAAACCGTTGAAATCCTCTACATCATCTCCGCCGTCCATCCTGAAATTCCCAACCTTTAACTCCTTTATTATTCAATTCAATCTCAACGGATTTCTTTTTTGTAAAACACTACATACACATATTAATTTTTCTTTATAATACACATTACATTAAAACATTACAATATCTATTTATGTAAAATTTATTTAATTATTTTAAAGTACATTTTACTTACTTAAAATTAAAAATTATATAAATATATATATCTATACATAATACTGTTAAAAGACTTTTTTTATATAAGATAAATTCATACGTATAATAAAAAATTCTAGATTAATAACTTATGTAACTGTGTTATTATAAAACTTATATTCTTCGTGATGAAATTCTTTATATATTCTACATTTTCTCTGTCGTCTATCCTGAAGTTTTCAACCCGTATGCTCTTTTATTATTCAATTCATCCTCAACCGATCTTTCTCTTGTAAAACATTATATACATATATTAATTTTTCTTTGTAATACCCAATACATCAAAATATTACGATATGTATTTATGTAAAATATATTTAGTTATTTTAAATTATATTTTATTTACTTAAAATTAAAAATTATATAAATATATATATATATACATATGCATACACACTGTAAGAAGATTTTTCTCATAAGATAAATCCATAAGTATAACAAAAATTTACAAGTTGGTTACAAAAACCATGTTATTATAAAATTTATATTCTTGATAATGAATGTTTATATATTTTATAATAATTAAAATATTTTATTTATATATTTTGTGAAATATATGTATTGGCAGTTGTATTAAAAATGTATCCAACGGTTATAAAACAAAAAAACGCAATTAAAAAGTAGAAAGGAAGAATCGAACCCGTGACTTCTATGGATGAATAAACATCTGTTCCCAGTCGACTGACGTCTACATCTGCCATTGAGTCTCAAAAATCAAAATCTAAAGAAAGATTGCCTCTCTGTTTCTCTCCCTGGTTCAAAGCGATGGACGCTGTTTCCAGCACTCCAGGACTCAAGAATGAAACGAACTCGGCCACTCGCTCGAGTGAATCTTTCGGATTGCGAGTCTTGGCGGTGAAGAATCTGCTGAAGAAGATGGGTAAAGAATCAAAGGCGGAGGTTTTTGTGGGGAAGATAGAGAAAGAATTAGAGGCGGAGAAACTGTTGAAGAATCCCGTCGTGCTGCCTGTGAATATATTTCAGCGAAGACGAGAGAATTTCACCCCCGTGCCGAGCCGGTTTTTAAAGAAAATTGAAACCGGGATAATTCTTGAAATCTTTCTGTAAAGGTTTATATTCGTTGATTTGTTTGCAACGTTTTACCTGTTTGATCTCTTAAATGTTGATAATTGGGCAGATATATCTTGAAATACACATTACATGATATTTTGATGT